AAGAGAAAAAGAAGGAAACAATTGCCAACTCATTTTATGAAACCTGTATAAACCTGAAACTAAAATCTGACAATGGCATAATATGAAAAATTATATATCACTCACAAACACACATGCAAAAATTCTTAACAATGTAGTAGCAAATCAAGTTTACCTAATATATAATATTTTTCACACTGATGCATGCCACCTGGAAGAAAAATACATAAACAATTTGCCTGGCCAATCACAATCATGCAGGTGCTCTTCCATTTCCAGTCTGCAGGACTCCCGTTCATCAGATCTGCTTGGATATCTTTGTATTCTTCCACTGTTGCTGCTGTTATCCCATATTCACAATGGAGAGGAACTTGATTCATATTTTACTCTCAGATTCCAGTTGTAACCACCATCACTAGTGCTGTGATGCTCATTTGAATTTGAAAGTTAGAAACAACCAACAGGACCAGGACTAGAGCAAGGCAAATGTCTCAGAAGAAAAATTAATGGGTCACTCAAAAACTTGGTAGTAAAGACAGACCCTAGCCTAAAAAATCAAACTTAATGAAAAAATCCATTATGAACAGAATTTCAATGTTTGATTAAAGACATGACCTGATCCTACACAACTTGTCCTCACCCTAATTCCTGCCATGTCACATCCTGATGTCAACTTTATTGTTTCCTGATCTCATTGGGAGATAAAAGGCCATATATGTTACACTTCTCTCTTCTGGGCTGCTCCTTCAAGGTCAAGAGGGCTCCCAAACTTCTAGATCAAATAATGCTGCATTGTTACATTTACAAGAAGAAAAATCCTGTAGTTTGCAAAAATGATCTCTTCTAGAATATGTTACTAATGCATATTTTATTACATACATTTATGCATTAAAGGGACATATGTTTACAATATGGAAAGAAATGGAAAAGTAATGTTACTCTATTATATATATCTGCAGATACAGTGCATCTCCACCATCTACTAAAGCTACTCCCCTAGACACACACATGCTCAAATGCACACATGTACACAAACACACACATAGACAAACACTCTGGGTGCAGCTGTGAAGTTCAAAAATTGTTTGAGGTATTACCATTCATGTGTAGTGATAGATTCCTATTGATGTTTCATGATTACGCTGATAAACTTCAAGTAATCTCTTTTCAAGGTATTCAGATCAATCCTTGAAGAACAAATATTAATCCTTCGGAGATATCTTTCATTCTACACTTTACCAATAAAGTATTTGTAAAGACAGGAAAGGAGTAGTGGATACTGACACATTGTGGTCTCTGGGCCTGTTTCAAAACATGCACCTCTTTATTATGAAAAGGCAGTTAGGAAATTCTGATCCTCCCACAAGGCATGTTCTACCAAAACACATAGATTGCTGATATGCATATGATGATTTTCAAGACTCATATTAGTCCATTTATTTTACTAAGTAAAAATGTTTTGGCCCTGCTATTTTCCTGTCTGAGAAAGAAACCATTGTTCTGGATTGCTGTATAAACATTGTAGTCATGTTGTAAGGATACCACTAATTCAGGTTTAAGCACATAATTGGCATTTATCAGCTTGCCTTCTTGTTCTATTCTCCCTAAAACTCAATGGTTTGGGTTGCTACCATCCAGGAATATTTCTTTGAAAGTTCAATTATCTGTGTATGTTTGTATTAGCCAAACTGCATGAAGATATGAACTCAGCCACAGTAGCTCAGAGTACTGTCCTTGGATAACACTTAGAGGAAAACAAAACTGCTTTTCTGACAAGCATCTCAAACATCTTAAATAGACAACCTGAGACATAGTCAGAAAACTGTGTAAATCAACCTGACTCATGGGGAAGAGAGATGTGCCAATTTGGAATGCATCTCTCTGTATTCAACAGAAATCCCAATTACAGTTGCTTAATCACATAGGGTTTTATTCATATGCAGGCTGTGAGAAGGTAGTGCAGAGTTGTTGCAGCAGTTTAACAATACTATGAAAATTCGGGGGCTTTCTATCTTATCATACTTATATGCTAAAGGTTTAGTATATAAACCTTTGTTTATGGCACTTATCTTATGGTTGCAAGTTGATTGCTTCAACTCAAGGCTTCCTCCTCAATACCCATGCTGGTTAAGAAAAAAGAAAATGAGCCCTAGCCGGTTTGGCTCAGTGGATAAAGCGTTGGCCTGCAGACTAAAGGGACCCAGGTTCGATTCTGGTCAAGGGCATGTACCTTAGTTGGTACCTTGGTTGCAGGCTCCTCCCCGGCCTGGGCCCTGGTCAGGGCTCATGCAGGAGGCAACCAATCTGTTTTTCTCACATCGATGTTTCTCTCTGTCTTTCCCTCTCTCTTCCACTCTCCCTAAAAAAGTCAATGGAAAAATATCCTCAGGTGAGGATTAATAAAAAAAAAGAAAGAAGAAAGAAAGAAAGAAAAGAAAATGGGTAAAGATTTAAGGAACATTCCCCCAAGACTAGCCTTTTCAAAAATATTTCCTCCCTTAAGACCAATCCCTCAATGATACTTTTAAATTGTCAGCAATAACTGAGTTATATGATATACCTACCTGCAAGGGATTATGGGAACATGAATATTTTGACCCAGAAAGGAAAGAAAAAATGGTCTTGGAAATGGATTTTTTAGTAGACACATGTATTCATTTCCTATTGCTGCTGTAACAAATTACCACAAACTTAGTGCTTAAAAACATAAGTATATTATCTTACAGTTCTAGAGCTCAACAGTTAAACTGGGCTAAAGTTAAGTTAGGGCTGCATTCCTTTCTGGAGGCTCTAAGTAAAAATACTTTCCTTACCTTTTCTAGCTTCTGCACTCTCCCACTTGTGGCTCCCTTCCATCTTCAAAGTCAGTAATGGCTGGTTCAGTCTTTTGCACATAACATCACTCTGATACCGACTCTCTTTCTGCTTCCTACTTCCATTTCTTATTAAGGGCTCTTGTGATTACACTGGAACCACCTGGATAATTTAGGACAATCTCCCAATTTAAAGGCCAGCTGATTATCACAACCTTAATCTCATTGGCAATTGATTTCCCCTTTGCCACACAGCCTCCTTGATTTTCTCTCCAGAACATGCTTTCCTGATAATGAATCTCCTAATTATAGCACTTTTTAACCATTTGAATAGGCTGCAAATCATTAAATTCTGGTTTCTTTTTGCTTAACAGTCCTTCCTTCAATCTATCTCATTCCTCTCACATTTTACTAAAAGCCGCAAGAAGAAAACAGGCTGTAGCTTCCACCCTAGCCTGGAAATCTTCTCAGCTAAATATCGTTAATTGTTTACCAGTCCTTCTCTCCACATTTCCACTGCAGGACACATGATCCAGCTAAGTTTTCTGCCAGTACATAACAAGGATTTCCTTCCCTCCAGTTTCCAATAACATTTTTCTCATTTCCTTTCCTCTGGTTTCCAATATCATTTTCCTAATCCATATTTCTACCAATAGTCTCTTTACCATGATTTAGGTATTCTGGAAGGAAATATATGTTTTCTCCACCATGCTCCTCACTTTCTTCTGTGTCTTTGCTATCAGAGTGATTATCCATGTTTCAACTAACACTCTGTCCAAAACAATCTAAGCTTTAAAAAATCATGCTCTTTAAAATTCTTCCAGCCTCAGCCCAATGCCCAATTCCAAAGCGACTTCTACATTATTAGTTATTTGTTACAGCAGCACTCCACTTCCAACTCTGTATCAGTCAGGGTTCAACCAGAAAAACAGAACCAGCAGGAGATATAAAGAGATTTATTGCAAGGAAGTGATTGATTCAATTGTGGGAGCTGGCTAGGTAAATCAAAAATCAGAGGGGCTGGCTAGGCAAGTCAAAAATCCAAAAGGGCAGGCTGCAACTCTGGACACCAGCAGAAGCTGCTGCCCACAGTCATAATTTCTTCTTCATCTCAGGGAACACTCAGCTCTGCTTGAAGGCCTTTCAGCTGATTGAGTCATGCCCACCCAGATCATTTAGGATATTCTCCCTATTACAAGGTTAGTTGATTAGCAACCTTAATTCCATCTGAACTGTAAGCCCCCTTTGCAATATAACATAACATAGTCACAGGTTCCAGGGAATAGGATGCAGATGTCTTAAGGAGGGCATTATTCTGCCTACCACACTGTCCCATAGTATCTGCAAAGTTAAGAGGCTCATGAAAACAGAACTGATTATTTCTTCAAACCATTCATCACCTTCATTAACATATCCTTTAAAAAGTTTTCTTTAATATTAATTCTACAATTTATTTTTCCAAATTCCTCTAGGCCCAGAATTTGGAGCTCACTTGAGAATTCCTTGCAATAGCAAGAGACAATTTCAAGCAATGTATTACTTGGTCCTAGCGTCTATTGATCTTCAGAGTTTATAGGAACAAGTTAAACACAGCCAATCTGGGTATCCAGTAAAACTGTGCAGGACTCTTATCAGGATCATAACTTCAGTTAAATATAAGAAAAAAACCCATGATTTTTCTCAACATTAGATGAGAAAGATATATTTTCATGAGGTAACATGTATTTTAGAAAGTCTAATAATTACAATTGTGATTTTGATATAAACAGCATGAAATTATACATGTTGCCTATTAATAAAAACAAAAAATACAGAGTTTGAAAGAAACTGGATATGGGTGAATACAAATTGATTCTACCCAAAATGGGTTATAAAAAAGTCATAGCTGTGTAAATAATAAAAACTAAATAAAACCTCTGACAATTTAAAAATGAAGTAGGTAGAAAGGAATCAAATTCTTATGTACTGTCATGAATACTTTTAAATTTAGAATTACATTTATTTCAAGAGGTTAACTTTCATATTAACCTTAAGAAATCAGTACTAAAATTTTTAGTCAGAAATATGAAATTTCCTGGTATTTTTTAACTAATAATATAGTAATTGAAAAAATAATTACAGGACAACAAAACAAAGAATAACTGCTAAGGAAAATAATACAGAAAAATAAAAACAAGTAGAACTACAGGCTATTACTGCATTAAAAAAATGAAGGAAAGATAAAGGAGACAACAAGCGGAAAGTTTCAGATACCTAAACTATCATGGAATGTTGGATTTCCCTCTGCCTTCCTCCCAATGTCCTGGCCTAGAATATTAGGGAAGACAGGCTTCAAGAATTTGAACTCATTACTCCCAGAGCCTCCCGTCAGGCACACCTCATACTGGTAGCTCTGGGACAGGGTCCCAGTACCGCTGACGTCCACCAGGTGGCCCGGAAAGTGACCCTCAGGCACCGAACAGCCACCCACCCAGGCGGCCCTGCTCCGCCTGCACAGCCGCACCGCGATGAACGCCAGCACCGAGAACAGGAACAGCGACGACACCGACGCCAACGCGATGACCAGGTACACGGTCAGCGGGTCGGCCTGCGCCTGGTCGGCCGCCACTTCCGGCAGCGGCAGGTAGGGCTGCGAGAAGCCATCCACCAGCAGCACGTGCAGCGTGACGCTGGCAGACAGCGCGGGCTCGCCATTGTCCTTGACCAGCACCAGCAGCCTGTGCTTGGCCGCGTCG